GTTACTCCCCAACACTGTCAGTGGGATACAAGTCAGGACTTTGTCAGTAGGATTCACCTTGGAGTTCACCAGGTGCATGTTTTGGGTAGATAATGTTGATTTCTGATTAAATTATTCCTAAATTGTGAAAAAAACAACAACTTGGAAGATGAAGGCTGATGAACCAGACCCAATTTTTCTGCAGACTGCTTGAAGTTTCCTTTACAAATCTCCACGTCTTCTTCTTTCTTTCTGTTTTTTTCCATCTTGATGAGATTCCCAGTTCCAGATGCACTGAAGCCTCCCCACAGCATAATACTTCCACCACCACATTTCACTGTGGGGACAGTGTTACTAGAGTCTTACGCCTCTTCCTTCCTTCTCCAAACATAAGAGCTCTAGTTTCGTCTCATCGGACTAAAGGGCGCGCTTCCAGTAAGCATAATCTATCTCCAGGTTATCGTTAACATATTTCAGTCTGGCTTGAAGTGCAGAAGTGGAGTTTTGTTGGTCTGCTGCCTTGCAGTCTATTCCTTTGAAGGGTTCTAGTGATTGTCGTCTCTGTGACTACAATCCCTGATTTGCCTAAGTCATTCACGAGTCTTGGCAGTTGTTCTGGGGTCTTTAGACACATCTTTCACCAGTTTTCATTCCAGAGTCTTTGAAATCTTTTGCTTCCTACTTCTGTCAGGCTTGTTCTGTACTTTGTAGCTGTCTTTGAATTTCATGATGATACTTCTCACTCCTGTTCTTGGCACTTGGAAATGCTGTGATAACTCTGTATATCCATCTCCTCCTTTGTGAGCATCAATAATTCTTTTTCTCAAGTCTAAGCTGATTTCTTTTGTTTTTGGCAAGGTGCTTTCTCAAGTGACAACTCAAACCCTTGCTGAAGTTTTTATACTGCGAGTACAGTGGAAGTTTTAACTTGATTTTAAAAGCTTTGAGCATTACAAAGTTCAATCGCATCATTGCACAGCAGAGGTTTGTTCTATGGCTCAATAAAAAGGTCAGTTTATCAGGGGGGTAATAATATTCACCCTGGTATTTTTTGTTGTTGTAATTGTGTGAAAATAAAACTGATGTTTTCCAAGAAAAATAAAAAAAAAATTAGTATGCTGTATTGAAAATGCTCTGTTAAAATTTTTTGACAAGAACTTTAATTTTCATGTTACAGGACATCTTACCCACAATCAATTCCTGCTCATTAAAATATCACAGTTCATTCGCACGTGCCTCAATGATGCAGCAGTTGGTCGTCTATAGTTAGTTACAAAACACTGCAGCAAAGCTCTTCACAAACCCATCGAACACATTACTCCAGTCTTCGCAGAATTACCCTGGCTTCCCATTCCTACAGAATCCAATTTAGGATTTTATTGATTGCTTTTAAACCACTACATGGTATGGCTCCACTTAATATCTCAGAACTCTTAACCCCCTGTTTCTGCGCCCGAACCCTTCGGATCAGAGAATCAATGGCTGCCACAGATTCCACGGTCCAGGCTTAAAATGAAAGGGATCGACATTGTTGCCGTTTTAGCTGCACCGCTGTTGAACGAGCTTCCTCTTATTATTAGATCAGATAATAAATAAGATTATTTTAGCTTCTGTATTATCAAGTAGACGATCAGTCCGTGTCACTGGTGTCTATGTACACCCCTTTTGCGACTCTTGTGGCCTCTCTGAGCTTGATAACGCAACTCTACTGCAAACCTAAATTACAAATGATTCAGGAACATGACAAGGCACCCATGGTGTCGACTTGGCTTCGCTATTTCCCAGGTCTCAAACCCCACCTTGCAACCTAGAGGAATTAAAGGATCTGCTGCTAATGTCTCGGTGCCTGACAGCTTCAGACGTCTGTGGAGTTCATGCCTTAGCAGGTCAGAGCTGATTTGGCAGGCAGAGGGAACGATGCACAGTATTAAGCAGGTGGTTTTAATGTTGTGGCTGATTGGTGCATATAAAGGACAAACTCGCCAGCTTTTATGGTTTTGCCAGATTAAATGAAAATGAAAAACAACACCAACATAAAAAAAGAAAATCTGATCTATTTAAAAACTGCATCTACCTTCCCTGAGGAGAGTCATGCAGCCTAAAAACGCCTTCTTTCATATCTGCTGGCTAATTTAACATGTCAGTGTGCACACACAGCTATTCTGCTGCCTCACTGTGATGCATTTACACACATCTACAGGAGGCAGTTATCTGCAACTCAGCACAAAGGTGAGGTAGCAGGCCTGATTACCTTTTAAAAGCTTATGCTGGGGTCATCTAATGTAGTCTGCAAAGTAACATTTTCTGTGCTTTAACTCAATTTTCTCCTCAGTGATTTTACATGTTGTATGAAATACTTTTTAAGGGATTATTTCCTGGCACAGACTTGCATCTCTTTCTGCTTGCGTGTGTGTGTGTGTGTGTGTCTGGAGATTGACCGTAAGCAGAACATAATGTGATGTGAGCGCTGATATGAAAACACTCAACTGGAGCGCAATGAAATAACAGCAAAACAAGAAACACTGACAAAACCAAATTAAGTCTCTGTGTTTGCTGTGATGGATTATGTAGCTCGGGCAATTTTCAGTCTGCAGAAGTTTTCTGTAGTTTTCTTTTGTAAAGAAGGAAAACAAGACCTAATATATAACAATGCTGACTGAAGACACCAGCACAGATATTATAAGGGCAGATCAACCATTTTGAAAGATGGAAACTTATAAAAGAGGGGTCTTATACAGCACAATACAGATATTGTTCTGTGTGCACTTCAATAAATTGTATTTTTCCCAGTGGAACTGCTGGATATTGTTATATTTTTTTTAAAAAAAGAAAGCACTCTGATAGCGTGCCACTTGCAGCAAGATCATTTAAATATCCTCTCCTTCCTGGGTACTGATGGACAGTAAAAATCAAAACTGCACTCACACGTTCAGTTCCACTTAATTTCAGCCTGGAAAGAGACTTCATTCTGCGACGGGAGATTTCGCTGTGAATAAAAGACAAAAAAGTGTCAATACACCGAGCTACAGAAGTTAGCCGTGGGCCTGCACGCATTGTCTAAAGATGTGGCTAGACTTTTGAAAAATATTTCCACCAAAGCACTTTAGGCAGTAAAATAATTACATCAACATTGTATCACAGTGCAAATTTTTTGACACATTCTCACACAGTCCCAGATGCAGATTTACTCTCTCTCAACTTGCTCTACATCATCTAATGCTCCTTCAGGAATATCAAGGAATCAGAAAATAACAAAATACAAAATACAGTGAAATTTATCTTTAAGCTTTAATAAACAGCATAAAAACACATTTATTCACCTTTACTCACGACTGGTATGTGGCCA